CATAAATATATGAAAGAATGCACTCAGGCGACACCTCTAGCCATTGTGTTTTGCTGATTTAAGTTATCGATGGAATTTGTTTTGTTTTTTTTTCCTCGCCCAAGCACAAAAATAATTCGTATATTTAATGAAGTTATTTTTCTAAAATCTGCGGTTGTTTCGTAGAACTTCCGATTGCTTTCATTCACCACACTGTAAAAAACATAAGACGAATTATAAAACAAAACTTTTATTTTGTTTTTAATCTTAATTTTAGCGTTTTTCTTTAACAAAATGTTTTGAAATGTTTTTATGTGGAGGTACTTGGCAGATTCGCAGCTTCTTCGATGTTTGTTTCCTTTCTCTACTATAAATTAAAGGAAAATTATAAGGAGTCTGAAAGGCAAGTTTCAGTGAAAAATCATACAAGTACCTACTTAAAATTTCATTAATGGGCCATGTTAAAAACATTGTATGCTTAAAAGCATAGTTTACTCACAGCTTTAATATTTAATTTTGTATTGTTTTTCTATCCAGCAAAAGCTTCTTAAAACTTTTAAAATTGTATTATACGTCTCACAGTAGCCAACCAGTAGTTTCGCAATGACACGCTGTACATAAAAATATTATGAAATATTAAACTGACGGTAATTTAGTATATTGTACTAAGATATTCGTGTGTTGTACGAATTAAAAAAAAATGTTTCGGCTTTTGTTCTATATACGAAAGTATTAAGTAAATTGTACGAATACAGAATTGTACATTTCGAAATTCTAAAACCATACGTAAATATTACGAATGCCTTCGTACAATATACAAAATTATTCGTACAGAGATTTGTTTAGTAATTTACGAATGTGTTTCGTAAAATGAACGTAAGATTTCGTAAATTGCACTGAAAAAAGGCTTTGCGAAAGTTCCTTCGTTATATTTACGAATGGTTCGTAAAATCTTGTTTCGTTGTGAAAAATGAGTTCGTATTATACAAAAACCAAGACTGCGAAAGGTTTTCGTAGCACTTTTACGAAATTTTATTTTCAGTGTAAGAATACATCGAAAATTTGTTTTAGAGAATCAATGTGAAATAAGTGCAGAAACGATTACCCGGTTTGCTGAGCAACCGAGACGTCTGCTTTTAAATATTTTGTGTAAAACAAATTGGCTAGTACATATCGTCACTACACACGAATAAAAAAAGCGAGCGAAAAAAGGCGCATAAAAAAAACTTCAGCGAAGAAAGACTCTTAACATAGTTGACGGCGAAGAAAGACGCGTTAAAATATTTGCCGGCGAAGAAGGACGCGTAAACTTATTTTCGCGGTGAAGTATGATTCCGGGTGTAATATTATGTACATTCCGTAATTAGTTTTTGGGGAATAATGCTGAAGTGGCAGTCCTTGGCCATGTATAAATATATGATTACGCGCTTTGGGCAACCTCTAAATATATTTTGATTTCAAAATAAGAAAATAGGGGCATACTTTTTCGATATAGAACAATCCTAGGGGTGTTTTTGGACCACCGTAATGTACATACACATATGCATGTGCGTATCCCAGCAAACACAGTCTCTAACGTTAGAGAAATTTGGATTTAGAAGTTAGAGAACTACGTTAGGAGATCGACCTTAGAATTCGATTAGAGAATTAATATTTTCACGAGTCGAGAACTATGTCCCATTTTTGTTGAGATCGCTATGATTCTCGATAGTTCCTCTCAATGTTTGCTGGGATGTTGAAAAAGAAAATAAATGAAGTCTGATATAATTACGGTAACCATCCGTTCTGTTTTTTGCAGGACCGTACTGTTTTTCAAAGGTCGGTCCTGCGTAGTTTTTCAAACCTAAAAAACCTGAAAATGTACTGATTTTTTCCAAGTGTCCTGCATTTGTCCCGCATTTTACTCGTTATTTTAAAATTATCGGACAATGGATGGATTTTTTTCAAAAATGTGTTTTTTTGGTACTTTTCGTAGCTTTTCTTCAATATCTCATGAAAAAATCTCCCCATCAACGTAAGCGACTTACAGCTCGAAGGGTATTGATGTGCCTCTTACCAAAATATATAACTTGTGGCGACTTCAATGAAAATTATTAGTGCTACAGGCGACCATTTGCATTTTGTCGTCAAAGTCGAAAAATGTCCACTGGAGCTCAATTCAACCACCTTCTCCCCACTGATGCCCATTGGGCCCTGACTAGTCTCAGACTGCTTACCAACTGTTTCCCAAAGACTAGTTACCAGCTGGTCCTAAACTGCTTACCAACTGGGCCCCCCTACCCCAAGTGGTTCCCAAGCCACTTCACCAAATCAACCCACTGAGAAAAACACCATGTGCACGTCTCTGTCTACCACTTCGAAATTTTTTGCTTACATATTCGCGAATTTTACCCCTATCGAAACCGAAGATGTATACACATCAATAATTCAACGAAATTCTGATACATAGGTATTCTATTATATCTACGGTGACCATAAATATGGATTCAAAATGAAGGACAATTTTTCAAAAATATGCCTACATATACTTACTTAGTATAAAAATATCAAAAGAGTATTTATGATTCTAAATTCTTAATACATTTTAAACTTAAAAAAACGAATCACGTTTTCTTCATCGATATTAATCTTTTTTACATGAATATTTATAAAAGTTTAGTAAAACATATTATAATTACAATAGCTTATACGAAAAGTGAAAATCTTTAAAAGATTATTTTATAGGCAAATTTTGAGTCGTTCAAAACGAAAACAATAACTTTTTTTGTTTTTTGGTACTTTTCGCAGTAATTTTTCAAAAATCGACGTCATGAATCGACATAAACGACGAGTTACAAAGGTATTTATATGCCCTTTTCAAAAATATATAATTTGTGCAGATTGCGCCATAGCATCTACATTTCTAATCCGATTTTCATTATCTTTGAATCAAAATTTACTGTAATGATATATCTTATTTATCGAATTTTTAAACTAATGAAAAAAAATATCAAATAAAGCTGCGTATTTGATTGAAACTCTCAC